AGGCAGGAAGGCGGGGGTCACGGCCACGAAACGCCCTCCTGAGCCCCCGTGGGAAAGGGGCTCAGCCGTCCAAGCGGCAGGACCGCAGAGGGTGCTGACCCCTCTGGCCCGCTGCCCAGCCCTGGGCCCAGGGCCGGAGCCAGGAGCCCGTGCGAGTGACGCGGCGGCCTGGCGTGGGGACCCTGCGTGGTTGGCCGGGCCCTTCACCGCCCTGGTGGCTGCGAGCACAGCCGTGCCTTTTCCAGACCACCCCGCGGAGTCTCTCTCCCCTTGGAGCCGACATGCAGGCGTTAAGACGCCGGTCAGCTCTCTCCCGCGGGGCTTTCTGCGTGGTGGCTGCGCCCCATTCTCCCTGCTCCGTGCCACCCCCAGCCGCGGGGGCTCCCCTGGAACACGGAAGTCAGGTGTTTATAACGGGGCCTTTGTTGCCAGAAATCGGTGGCCCAGAGGATGAAGGCCTTGAGCAGCCAGTCAGGACAGGGGGGTGACTCAGACACCAGCCCCCCCGGCCAGCGCCCCCACCCCGGCCGTGGGGCCCAGGGCTGGCCGGGCCCGGGGGCTGCGGGCGCCGGAGCCGAGGCGGCGACGGGCCAGGCTGCTGCCTGGCACCAGGGCACCTGACAGCGAGGGAGGGAAGGACCCTGGCGTCGGTGCCCCCCGCCCCAGCCCTGCAGTGCCGCCGGGAACCCGCTGACTCGGGGGCTTGGGAAAGGCCCCCATGAGGGAGCGGCGCCCCAGGGCCTCCGTGCCCGGCCCCTTCCCTGCTCACGGCGCCCCTGCCTGGCCCGGGCGGCACCCCACGGCGTTCCCCGCCTTCCCTGTCCTGAGGAGTGAGCGGGAAGTCGGCCCCCGCCGCGTCCGGAAGAGCCCGGGTTGAGGCGGCAGGCGGGGGAAGGCCCCGCTCAGCGCACAGCGGGCCCCCCCGGGAATGATGTCATCCCTGGAAGGGCCCGTTCAGGAGGCAGAGGACAGATGGGCAGCTCCGGACACGCACTCAGGGCTCCCGCTGGGACCTGGCCTGAGGCGCAGGCCCAGCCTCTCGGGGCTGCAGGCCCAAGGCCCTGGCGGGCGGCTGTGCTGGTCTCACACTGCGCGGGGGCAGCGTGGGGCTCAGCCGCGCCGCCCTGAATGTGCCGGAGCTGCTTGGGGGTGGGCGGGGGGGGGGCGTGGCGCTTGCTCACGCCTCTTGTCAGGGTCTGCGGCAGAGTGGCTTTAGGCAGTGGAACCTGCGCGGGGACTGGCAGTTTCTGACTCGGCTGCGGGCTGCCCGCCGCTCCCGGGGCGCTTGCTCTGCCTTCGTGCCCGACCTCCTCTGACCAGGCGCCGGGCGCGGCGCCTCCCTCCCCGTCCTCCCGTGAGAGGCCCGCGGTCAGTCACGAATGATCGCGTCCTTTCAGTCGGTCATGGAGTAGATTGTATGTATCACTGAGTAAATCATAAATGGTTGAAAAAGCAACATGTGGATCTGTCCACCGCTGAGCATCCGGCCCCTGCGCACTGTTCTCCGTCGGGGGAGCCGCGGGGAGCCTGCTGCGAGCGGGGTCTCCAGTCCCCCCTGCAGGGGAGAAACAGGCGGAAATGTGTGTGTGGAGACAGTCAGGGGAGTTAAACGTGGGGGTCAAACGGGTGACCCCCCCGTTGTGTTCAGGGACTCTTCTCTGCGGAAGCGACCTCTGAGCTGAGACCCAAGCAGGCAGAGGCGCGTCCTGACATCGGGGCGTAGACGGCCAGCGCCAAGGCCGCGGGTGGGAGGTGCCTGGGCGCACACAGAGCTGCGCCCCCCTGGCCCACGCCAGCGAAGGCTGAGCAGCTAAGCAGCCGTGAACCCGCCAGTCCGCTGGGCCGGCCTGGAGGGGGAGGCGGTCCCCAGGCAGGCCTGCCGGCATGCTCTCCACCGCTCAGATCCCGGGGTGCGGGGTGGGGGCCCCTTCCGCACGCCCACCCCCCCGCCCCTCACCCCCAGCCCCCCCGGGGCGGCCAAGCTGGCCCAGCACAGGCTTCGGGTGTGGGCAGATCTCAGTCCCAGAGATCCCAGCCCTACCGCCGGCTGGCTCTGTGGCCTCGCCCCGTTTGCCTGCAGCTGGAGAAGGAGGGGAAGAGTCCCCCAGACGCCCGGGTGTGAGGCTGCCGCAGTCGGGGCTGGCCTGCGGTTCGCGCTGTCCTTGGCGATTGTTGGCTGATGGGGGTTGTTTCGCCCTCTCTCAGCCTCCAGAGCCGCGCCCCCCGCCCCTCCCGCAGCGTCTTCTCCCGCCCGGTTCAGATCCAGCATGCGTAGCTGTCCTTTCTAACGTCACTTCTGAACTGCGTTTGCTCGTTCGCTCTGGTGCCAGCCACGATGTGGAACCCTTGCCTGTCCGGCCCGGCTGGCTCGCGGCAGCCGGGGCCCGTTCCACCTCTTCTTCAACTTCAGACCCTCGGAGAGCCTGTGCCCCCCGCCGCCCCTGACACCTGGTGCTGCCACGTCATCACTGTTGGCCGGGCATTCCGACTGATAGATCTCTTCACACCTGGGCGCTGTGTTGCCTTCACACACAGAGGGGGCCGCCCCGAACCCTGGGGCTCTTTCTCCACTGGAAGGTGGGTCTTAGGCCCTGGGAGGCAGGTGCTGGAGGGGGGTGCGGCCGGTCGCTTTGGTGACATCTCAAGGAGCTCCCTAGGGACGGGCCCCCTTGCAGCCTCACTGCCTACGTTTGCCTCTGCCCCCAGCCCCCGCCTGAGACCACTCCCTCCTGAGGGCAGCCGCCTCGCCGGCTAGTTCCCAGCACAGCCCCGGAGGTGGTGAGGCCTTGCACCCCACTTGGGAGGGACATCCCCAAGCGCTGGAGGCACACTCGACGCGCCCCACGCCGTGCGCGCCCTGGACGTGCCGCCTCCGCCCTCCGCCCGCGTGTGAGAGGGGTGAGCTGCCGCCCGCCCTTCCTGCCACCAGCTGCCCCACCGCAGCCGAGGTCCCGCGTCCAGCCCGTTCCCACTGTGGAGAAAATAGCAAGAAAAACAGATGAGAACCGATAGCCTGAGCTGCAGGGTCTGCGGGGGCCTGGCCTGGGCTGGCGCCAAGGACGCTTTGGCCTGGGGCTGCAGGGAGCCGGGAGGGGCCGGGAGGAGGGGAAGGGGCTCCTCCTGAGCCGGAAGGTGCCCCCCACCCCGTCTCCCACCGGGGACGCTGTCAGCGTCTGCTGCTCCCTCGGGGGGTTGTCATTGCCCCCCATCTCTGAACTGGGTCTGGACGGTTTCATCTCGAAGCCTGCAGGAGGCGGGCCTCCCCACTGTCCCGCGTCCAGACGCCCCGCAGCCCCGCCCTCGCGGGACCGGCTCTGCTCCCTGGGTCTGGGCCCCGAGACTCACGGCCGGGCCTCCTCTCACCCCGGGACGTGGCGGAGCCCTGGCAGCCCGAGCCAGGTGTTTGCTGAGCTCCTAGACACCCCCCGGTCTTCCAGGGGTGAACGTTCTGGCAGCTTGGCGCCGTGGGAGCCCAGGCACAGGCACGTCCCGTGTCACCTGGCCCTCGCCCCGAGCGGCCCAGGGGCTTCTCTTGCGGAGGGAGACTTGGTCTAGTCTCTGGTCCCAGCACCCGCAGCGCGTCGGCTGTCCTGCTGGGGACCGAGCAGGAGTGCCGGGGCTTCGGTCACAGCAGCAAACAAGGGTTCGGACAAAGAGAGCCTCAGGGAGGCGCCCAGGGAAGGGGAGGGGACCACGCACCGCAGGTGCGGAGCCACCTGGGCTCCTCCGTGTGTCCCCCCCACTTAAGGCGAGGAAGTTGGCAACAAGGTTCCCAGGGCCCCATCGCGCTGGCTTTGTACATGGGGGGCCTGGTTTCTCCCCCCCCCCCACAGTGCCCCCGCCCCCAAGGAGCCTCCTGGGACAGTGGGCGTTATGGGCAGAGGGACCTCGGGGCTGTCACCGTGCAGGAGGAAGCCGCAGGCGCAGGACGGGAGCAGCGGTTTGGGGAGGCCCCCGCCTGCCCCCCGTGGGTTTCTGCAGCTGGTTAGGGCCGGGGGCCCCGCCCGTCCCTCTGTGAGGGTGTGTTGGAAAACGACAGCCGGCGGCTGCTGCGCCGAGTGCTCCTTCTCAGAGGCCCCTGCGTGGCCAGAGGGTGCGCGGGCTGCTGGCAGGGCTGGCCTCCCAGGAAGTGGGCGTGGGAGCCGCGGGCCCAGCAGCGTCCGGGTCGCCCGGGGGTTTTCACCATCTTTGTGTTGTGACGCGTCAGAGCTCGGCAGTCCCGCCTCGGACGTCACTGCCTGTTGTCTCCTTCTAAGGACACGGGACCACCTGTCGCTGTGTTGCTGGCTTATTTCCTTACTTTGGCGTCATCTGTGTCTTCTCCCAAAGGGGGAGCTGCACGGGCAGGACCCGGCCTTACTCCTGGCGGAGGGCAGGCCTGGGACCACCCGCACGCCGTGTCCGCTGAGCCCGCCCGCCGCACGTGCTGGAGGATGGTCCCAGGTGGCCTGGTGCGCGGAGCTGGTTCTTGAGATGGAGCCCTCAGGAGATGAGCCCTGGGCGGTGACAGGGAGGGGAGGGGGCCGGGGAGGAGGCAGGTGATGGGGACCCCCGCCCCGCCAACGGGGGTGTGGGCGGAGCCTGGGGGGGTTGCCTCGGCCATGTGGTTAGGGTGAGGTGTGTGCCAGCGGGAAGCACAGGGCAGCATGGCTTCCCACCGGTGGCCGGGGCAGCTCACCGCCGCCGCCTTGAACCTCCGTTGCTGCGTCTGCCGGCGCTTCCCCGCCCTGTGAGGGCCGTCCTGATGCAGCAATGGGATCAGCGGGGTGGGGGGCCGGCCCCCGCGACTTCCGCTTCGGTGACCTTGTTAAAGCTCCTCAAGGGCATCCTTTGCCTTCTGCCCACGATTAGCCCGGAGAGAGGAGCCGAGCTGTCTTCCTTCTCAGACCCGGAACGCGGGCGCTTCAGCCACGGACACCCACTCCCCGCCGCCGGGCCTGGCGGGCAGGGCCCCCGGTCGGGTCCGCCTCGCAGGCGGCTCACACTCTGTCCCTCCCCAGGTACAAGACGGTGGTGACGACGCGGAGGGCCATGGTGGCCATCGCCGGCTGCTGGCTCCTGTCGTTCGCGGTGGGCCTGACGCCCATGTTCGGCTGGAACAAGCTGGGTGAGGCGCAGCGGGCCTGGGCGGCTAACGGCAGCGCAGGCGAGCCCGTGGTCACGTGCGAGTTTGAGGAGGTCATCAGCATGGAGTACATGGTCTACTTCAACTTCTTCGTCTGGGTGCTGCCCCCGCTGCTGCTCATGGTCCTCATCTACCTGGAGGTCTTCTACCTGATCCGCCGGCAGCTCAACAAGAAGGTGTCGGCCTCTGGGGGCGACCCACAGAAGTACTATGGGAAGGAGCTGAAGATCGCCAAGTCGCTGGCCCTCATCCTCTTCCTCTTCGCCCTGAGCTGGCTGCCCCTGCACATCCTCAACTGCATCACGCTCTTCTGCCCCTCCTGCCACAAGCCCAGCCTCCTCATCTACGTCGCCATCTTCCTCACTCACAGCAACTCGGCCATGAACCCCATCGTCTACGCCTTCCGCATCCGGAAGTTCCGGGTCACCTTCCTCAAGATCTGGAACGACCATTTCTGCGGCCAGCCCGCACCCCGCAAGGATGAGGACCCCCCGGAAGAGAGGCCAGATGACTAGACTCTCCCTGCTTTCCGCCAGAGCACCTCCACTCGGCCCCCGCCTGCCCGCAGTCCCACGGCCTCCGCGGGCCTCCCCGGCCCAGCCGTGGGGCGCCGGTGCCCTGTGCCTTGGGCCTGGCAGGCGGCTTGGGGGCAGTCCGTGGGGGGATGGGTAACCTGAGGGAGGAGGAAAGTGGCCGGAGCCTCCCCACGTGCCGGGCCGGCCCACGGGCGGCCCTGGCTTCAGACAAAAGGCCTTGTGGGCTGGGGGTGGCGGGGGCTCGGCTCCTGTTTCAGCGGCGGGGGCCGTGCAGCCCCGGGCCAAGCTGGAGAGGAGGGGTCCCCTCCATCATGAGCGAAGGCGGGGAGCACATGTCTGGGCCTTGCTTCCTTCCCTGTTCTGTGGGAGAAGGGGCCCAGCCGGAGGGCTGGGAACGAAGGGTCCTCAGGCCCTGCCTCCTGGAGCCGGGGCGCCTGCCTCCCATGCGCTGAGTGGCCGGGGCTTGTACTTGGGAAAGAGGCAGAAACAGCAAATCCAGAAATCACGTCCAGCATTCGCTCCCTCCTGCACCAGCCTGTGGACCCGCGGGGGCGGCCGCGGAGCCAGTGTGGAGTCTGGTGTGGGCCTCCCACGGCCACCAGGTGGCGGCACTGAGCATCCCGAGCAGCAGCCTGGACTGGGACTGTCTGTTCTCTGGGCCACCATCCAGCCCGAGCCGAGCCTGGAGCCTCCTAACACCCGTTGCTGCTGCTTCTGGGCCCGGTGGAGCCACGCCAGCGCTTGGGAGCAGTGGGCCTGCCTGGCAGGCGTGGACAAGGGATGCAGCTGGCGGTGGGCCCTCCCCGGCTGAGGCGCGACAGGCTGGCGCGGCCCAGAGGAGCCCCCGGAAGTGTGGCTGGAGGTGCTGCTGGCCTTCAGATCCCCTCAGTGGCCCCGGCCTTTGGCCTGGTTTTCAGGGGCTTTGGGGCTCTGAGCCGAGTCGAGGATGTTGGGGTGTTTGGGCAAGGCCGCCCCTGCCAAACCTGGAGCCTCTTGTGCAGAGGGGAGGGGGGGCGGTGGCAGAGGCGGGGGACCCTGGGTGTGAACAGACTACAGGCCTTGACTCCCGGCCCCCCCTCTTCGGAGGGGGCTGGGCCCTGGCTCCCTGGGAGGCCACCGGCTAATAAAAGACTGTGAACCCACCCACGCGGGGGTGACTGACCACCTGGTGGAGCGGATGCGCGGGGAGCCGAGGAGTCGGGAGCGGGCCAGCGGGGAGGCTGCTGGGGCGAAGACGGGCCAGGGAGGGGCGTGTCTGTGCTCACACCTCTGACCCTGGGGCAGCCGGTCCTGCGAGGCCTCGCGTCGGGGAGGCCCCCGGGAGCCCTTGAGGCCCCTCCTACTGGGCCTTCCTTAGCGCGCCTTGTGTGGAGGCCCCTCACAGTGGCAGTTCAGGCCCCCTCGCAGGGACGCGGCGCCGCCCCCGTGGCGACAAGGAAAACTGCTGCAGAGGCCCGGCTGAGACACATACACCTTTATTTGAGCGCTTCGCACCCGGCGTGCGGCTCCTCGCCGGCCCTGGCCAGGGGCCCGGGAAGCCTGTCCTGAGCCCACCAGGCCCCTCCAGGGTCCTGGACTCCAGCCCCGGGGCGGGGGGAGGCTGGGCTGGTGCCAGGGAGCAGAGCCGTCAGCTGTCGCTTTGGAAGTGGGGGTCCGGGGCGTCCATGGAGCGTGATGTGGGGCCTGGTGGCCCTGAGGCCTGCAGCACCTGGCGGAGAACATGCTCCGTGAGCTCGGGTTGAGGGGGAGCAGCCCCTCTTTGCCTCCCCGGGTCTGAGCCCTGCCCGCGCCCTCCGCACCAGAGCCTTAGGGGACCTGCGCCGGGAAGGCAGGGGAGGCGGTTGGCCCCACTTTCCTGACAGAATACAGGTCCAGGACGATGCCCTGGGCCAAGGGCATTCAGGGCCAGGGCCAGGCCGTCCAGCGAATCGCTGCCCTCCCGGCCCCACCAGCACGGCCCTGCCGGCCAGCAGCTCCCTCATGTCCCTGGGCGCCCTGAGACCGTGTGTGACGCAGGCCTGTGCCCGAGCTGACGGTCACCTCCCTGCCCGCCCCCTCTGCCCAGGACGCGGCACGCGGGGCAGGCCCGGCCCGTTACCTTTGTCCTCGCCTCGGCCTCCGCCGGCGGCGCCTTTCAGTGTGTGGCTGAGGCTGGGGGAGAGGCGCCTGTTAGAGCTGGGGGTGGGGGGCCCGCTGGAGACCAGGAGGGGCTCGCGGCTGCAGCCGAGGGGACGCCCGCTCCTCCGCCCACCCTGGGCTGCCCTCCCACGGCCGGGCCGCGGTGGTTGCGCTGCCCCTTGGCCCTGCCTTACCTCCCAAGGCTCAGCCTCCTCTCGCCCAGCAGGAGAGGAGGGGCGTCTGCCGCTCCGCCCCTGGCGGGTCCCTGAGGAGAGAATGCCCTCCAACCCTCACCTTTGACCTCCAGCCGGCAGTCCACGGACGCCTCCCCCAGCATGTTGATGGCCTTGCAGGTGTAGACCCCGGCGTCAAAGGGGCTGGGTTTCCGGATCTCCAGGGTGTAGACGCCTTGCTCAGAGAAGGCACGGTATTTCGGGTCCCCCTGGATGTCCATGTTGTTTTTCATCCAGATGATCTTGGGCTGGGGACATGTCACAGGGGAGCTGGGAAGGCCGTGGGCTGGGCCGGGGCCTCCAAAGCCACCTTCAGGCTCTGGCGAGACGCCCGTCCGATTCCTCAGCCCGCTGCCCTCACCTTGGGGGAAGCGCGGACGCTGCAGGAGAGCTGGGTGCTGTAGCCGGGCGTGGTGGTGTGGTCGACCAGCGGCTGGGTGAACGACGGGGCTTCGGAGAAGTCTCTCGCAACAAACTTTTTAAGTTTGGCAGCCGTGTCTGGGTTCGGGGAGAGAACGTGGCGAATCTGAGGTTACAGGAGGGGCCCTTCTCCTACAGGAATCGCTGAGCTCCCACCCAGGCCTCGCCGTGGCTCTCCGGGTGGCGCGCCGACGGCCTGCGGGAGGATCGTGGCCTCTATAAAGGCCCGGAGACAGCCTGTCTCATCCCGCCCTTCCTCTGGGGCTCCGCCGGGGACCCCAGGCTCCTGGGGTCTTTGGGCAGCCAGGCCTGGCCGGTGGGCGGGCACTGAGAGACAGGAAGCCTCGAAGGGGCCAGGATGATTGAGACCAGGGAGGGGGGCAGAGAGAAGGCGGGACGAGAGCAGAGGGAGGAGACGGTCTCGGCTGGCGCGGGGACCAGCCGCCCGGAGACGCCGCGTGTCGTTTCTGCTCGTCTTGGGAGATCTGACTGGCTTTTCTCTTTTGAACAAAAATTTCTCCTAATTCCGTGCCACTCAGGCTGGTGTTAGAAAGGGTGTGCCTTCCGGAGCCCGCGCGGGCGCCGCGCCGGGGAGGCCCTGGAGCTCGCAGGCGGCCGGCGAGGGAGCGTGGGACTTCACACTGAGGCGAGGGGCCGTGCCCCGGGGGGAGACCGTGAGTGCCCGTGTCTCCTGTCCAGCTCCGTGGAGCCGTCTTAGGGCTGGGAGCCCTGCGCTACCAACACGCTGGCCAGTCCACCGTTCACAGCGCCCTTCAGACCGGTCCCCTGGGACACTGCACGGGAGACCCAGTGGCGGCTCTGACGTCAGCAGCCACACAGCAGCTTTAGAATAAAGACACAGCGTCCCAGGGCCGGTCCTCTGGGCGAGGGGCGTTCTGCGTGCTGGTTAACTCGGTCGGCCCCCCCCGCCTGTCTCTGAGGGTGCGCGTCGTGGCGTGTGGATGTGTGCACAGCGCACACGGGTCGGGCAGGGCGGCGCTGCCCGGGGAGGAGCCCTCGGGGGGCAGCCGGCACGCGAAGGAGAAGCTGGACGTGGGGTGGGGACAGAGGGTCAGCCTGCTGGGCCCGGTCGCCCCCAGCCCAGGCCCAGGCCCGGACCCACCTGCCTTCTGGATGTGGGCCAGCTCCTTGGTGACCGCGGCCGAGGCGCTGAGTCCACACAGGTTTTCCGAAAAGACCCGGAAGGAGTACGAGTTGCCCATGACGAGGTCGGAGACGGTGCAGGAGGTTGGGTGGTAGCGCTCCAGCACCGTGAACCATTGCTGCGGGGCGGCCCGGTCACCCGTGCGCTCAGCAGCCCCCCCCCCCCACCGCACACCCCGCTGCTCCCGCCTGCCGGGCCCTCGCGTCCGGCCTCGGGCCCCAGGGCCCTCAGTGACCTCTCTGGGGTCCCTTCTCGTGCCTCATACCCAAAGTGTAGCCCGAGGACCAGCAAACGCAGAATCAGCCAGCAACCTCTGAGACCTCAGCCCAGGCCCTGAACCTGCTGAACTACAGCCTTCGTTCCTAGCAAGAGTCCCAGGCGATTCAGAGGCTCGTGAAATTTCCAGAAGCTCCCGTTGGAGCTTAGAGGGCCTCAGAGAGCACCCCCTCCCTGCGGCCACCCCTGCAGCCCTCGGGAGGAAACTGAGGCCCAGAGACCAGAGCAGTGCCCTGAGGCTGCGGGCGCAGGCCAGCAGTGGCCTGGAACGGAGGCCCCGGGCTGCTGCGGGCTGTGCGTCCCCGCCCCGCGCCCGCCCTCCGCGGAGCCTCACCCCGGTCCTTCTGTCCGCCTTCTGCACCGTGTAGCCCAGGAGCTCCGTGTTGCCCGTGTCCTGGGGCGGCGTCCACTCCAGGGCAGCGTTGCAGCCCCAGACGTCCAGGAGCCGGATGCTGCTGGGGGGGCCAGGCTTCTCTGCGGGACCAGGTGTCAGGGGCTGAGGTGGGGGCTGGGCTCGCCACAGATCCCCGCGCCCAAGGCTGCCTCCTGTCTCACGCTACCGGTCTGACCATGCGGGCATCTGCTCTGGAGGCAGGCGGCGGGGTCCCCAGGCCCCTGTGAGGCCCCTGCCTCCCCAGTCTGCGTACCAATGACCAGGATGTGGATGGTGGCCCGGGCCTCCAGGCTGTCCAGCCGCACGGTGAGCTCGTAGCAGCCCGAGTCGGAGCGCTGGGCCGAGCGGACGAAGAGGATGGAGTCCTTGTCCCCGGTGTGCACGCTTGCCCGCTGGTTGTCCAGGGCCTGGCCATTGTGGGTCCACGAGGCCTGAGGCTTGGGGCTCCCCTGCGAGGGAGGAGCCCCCAGAGGGTGTGAGCAGGTGGCTGGCCCCACAGCTGCCCTGTCCGGGGGTCTCTGGAGCTGTGTCTGGGGTGCTGCCCCCCCGCCCCGCCTTCCCAGGACGGGCGGCGGGGGCCACAGCCGCAGGGCTGCCCAGACCCGACCCCGCCCATCTGCAGGCTGGACGGTGTGCGTGACGGAGCGGGGCGGCCCCAGGCCGACGCCCAGGGGACCCTGCCATTTCCTGGGGCCTCCGACGTCCTCAGGTGGGGCCCTGGCCCCTACCTGTGCTTGGGCCCCCGGCGGGAGACACACACCTGGAAGGGGATCTGCAGGTTGATCGTCTCCCCCACCTCGCGGACGTAGGTTTGACGGAGGTGGCGGGGCACACGGATCTTGGGGGGCTCTGCATCAAAGTGAGAGTCTCCGCTCAGCACAGCAGCGGGGCTGCTGATCGGCGCGGGCTGCTGGGTGTGTTCCGGGCCACCTCCTTGTGGGGAGCGTGGAGCTCCCTCCCGAGGGGCCCACGGCCGCCTAGGCCTTTGGGGACGACGAGCCAGGAGGCCGCCGAGAGCAGGGCCTCTGTGGCCTGAGCGGGGAGCCCCCAGCTTCCTGAGGCCCCAGGACCCCACCAGGCTGGGGTTTGCTTGCAGCCGCAGGGTCCGGGGCTTCCAACGTCGGGGACCTGCACCTGCCGGCCTGCATCCCCGGATGGGGGCGAAGCCCCGGCCTCCCAGTCCGCCTGCTCCACCCCCACTGGCCCGGCACCTTCCGAGGAGCCCCCGGGAGACCTGAGTGCCTGGTGCTCTGTCTCCGGGTCACTTGGAGGCTCAGGCTGTTCCCTTTCCCACCCCCGTTCAGTCCGGCAGGGGGACGGGCTTCCTGAAGCTGACTCCAGCCCCCGCGAGGACAGGACATCGTGGGCCTGCGGCGCCTCCCCAGGTGCCACCCGGAAGCCACTGGGGATTGCCAGGGAGGCGGCGGCAGCCGCGGCCGGTCGCCCCTGGCGGGGGAGGCGGTGGTGGTGACTGAGGCTTCTCCATGCAGACAGGTGGCCGCAGCTGGTGGCTTCCAAGGCGGAGGGACAGAGACAGCGAGAAGGAACACTGTGTCTCCGAGGATTAGTTGTGTGGGCATTGGGCTCTGGGAGCCTCGGGGAGGAATGCTTGGCAGCTGCAGGTGGCCAAGGAGGGACAGCTGAGCAGCCGAGGAACCTGGGCCGGCCCCGCCCTGCCCTGCCCCAAGGCGGGCCTGGCTGGTCCCTGCCGGTTCACAGTTTCCCCTCTCTTCTCTCCAGGAAATCCCCTGTCCGCTGCCAGAGGAATCCTGATGGAGTGGTGGGTGCCGAGTCTGCCTGTCAGCGTTGGGCTTTGGCGGAGAGGCCGGCCCTGGCTGCCTCTCCGGCCCGAGCGCCCTGGGCCGCGGGGAAGCTGCAGGGCCCCCGCCAGGAGGCCTTCGGTCCACGTGAGGCCATGTCTCGCCCAGGCTGAAAGGCTGGGAATGTGCTCGGGTTCTGGGAACCTCAGAGGCGGCACCTGGTCCCGCGTGGGTCGGGTTCTGGGCTGGGTCTCTTCTGGGGGGTCCCCGAGTCCTTGTACCGGCCTCTCGGAGGCTCCCCGTGGGCCTCACATCGCGCAGGCCCTGGAGCCGAGACGCGTGTCCTGGAATCCGGCCTCGACTCCTGTGGCTGTGAAACCCCCCCCTTTCTGGAGGCCTTGCCCACACTGTGGGTCCCCCTGTGGGGCTTGAGGTGTGGAGCAGGGATGAAGGTGGAGAAGGCCGCAGGCCACATGCTGGCCTGGGTCCCCCTCACTGGGGCCCTGGGCCATCCCCAGAGACCTTGGATTAGGACAGATGACTCACTGCCATTAACAGACTGAAACCTGACCGGCCCTGGGAGGGAGCACCCCGCAAATAGAAGTTGCAGCCGCGGCGCAGGTCCCCGGCGCGGTGCTGCCCTCTGGGGCCGGAGGGAGCCTTGCCCGCCTTCCCAGGGCCCTTGTCTTCCTCCCACCAGAGACACGGCGGGACACGTCTCTGTCCCCAGGCCACGTGAAGTGAGCGGACAACAGGCAGCGATGAGTGTCCGTGGCCAACGGGGTGGGGGGGGCGGGAGGATCAGATGGGAGGAAGGACGGAATGACTGCGTCGCAGATGAACTGGGGGGCTTGAGCTTCACTCTGGGGGTCAGGAAGCCCCCCGTGCTCGGGGCTGGACGCCTCAGGGGAACGGCTTCTTGCACCTCCCGAGGCCCCTTGCTGCTGAGCAGCCTGGAACTGTTTTCCTTTCAGAACCTTTATTCTACTTCACAATAAGCTGCTCTGAGAACTGTGCAGCTGGGGGTTACAGATAAGTGTCTATGGATGTGTGTGGTGGCTGAGGCGGAGCCTGGGACTCCTGGGGGGGCGCGTGGCAGCCTGCGGCTCGTGCGCCGTGGCGGGGGATGGGGCGGCGGCCCTGTGCCCTCGGCCCTTGGCCTCAGCGTCTCCGTCCTTCAGATGAGGCGGCTGGTGAGGGCTGGGGCAGGAGGCGGGAGTTTACCTGTGATCTCTCGGATGTGCACGGGCCGGTCCAGCTCGGCGGGCGGCCCGGCCCCCGCGGAACTCACGGCGGCCACGCGCAGGAAGAACTTGTCCCCCAGGGCCAGGTTCCGCAGGGTCTGCTGGGTCACCATCATGGGCCGGGCGTTCACGGGCACCCACTCTGCGGCTGGGGGCAGAGGCTGTGAGGGCCGGCTTGGGGCCATGGGCACCTTCCCCCGGGGCTTCCCTTGGCCTGGGATCAGAGACGCGGACCACCCTCCCTGGGCCTGTTTCCCTCCCTCCTCATCCCTGCCTCTCATTTTGAAATGGCATTCAAGACACCAGACGTTAGGGCCCTGGACGGGCAGCCGGAGGTGTGGCTGCTGAAGCTCAGGGAGCGGGGACGCGTTTGCCAAGTCGCACAGAAGGTAGGGTCCACGGCAGAGCCCAGGCTGCCCTTGGCTGCCCTGGACTGGACGAGAGGACTTCGCCCCCTTTCTCCTCATGGTCCCTGACGTTCCCCCCGCCCCCCCCCCCGGGCCTTCTGAGGTGGGACCCCTCCCTCGCTCTGCTCAGAGCAAGGCCCAGCGTCCCCTCTTCTGGGCTGCCACTCGGGTCCCTGGAGCTGGAGGACGGGCACCGCCTCAGGCCACTCGGACGCCCCCTGCCGCCACGCCCTCTGAGTGTCTCCTGGGCTGAGCCGCAGCAGCCACATCTGGGGGCTTGTCCCTGCCCCCCCCGCCGCCCCGGGGGGCAGGCAGGGCCTCTCCCAGCGCTCACCTCCCTCCCTGCGGAGCTCCAGCAGGTAGCCCTGGAGCCCCAGCCTGCCCAGCCTCTCCGGGGGCTCCCAGCTCACGGTCACTGAGCTGTCGCTCACGTCCTCCACGGTCAGCAGCAGCGGGGCGCTGGGCAGGTCTGTGGGGGGGGAGTGCGCGGAGGGGGTGTGTGGCCAGGGGCCCCTTGCCCTCGGGCCGTGTCCCCCTCCCTCCTTTGCCCGCCCCACCTCTCGTCACCTTCGCTTGGAGGGGCAGGTTTCGGGGCCGCAGGGGCAGGTTCGGGGGCCGCAGGGGCAGGCGCCGGAGGGGCTGCCGCGGGAGCCTGCCCTTCCCCCATCTTCTCGGACGCTGCCCCTTCCTCTGCGGGCTCTGTGGGCGCCTGGGCCACCTCGGCAGTGCTCTCCTCGGGGCCAGAGGCAGGGGCCTCCGAGGCGGCTTTTCCCGTCATTGCCAGCTGGCGGGGGTCCCGCTGGGGTGCGCAGAGGTTGGCAGGGGAGGGTCCGGGCCTCCAGGGTGCCCGGACACCCAGGCCCGGGCTTATATAGGCAGGGGCTGCCCCACCCCCAGCCAAATGATTCCCAGCTGTGGGGTCAGGTCAGGTGCGGGGGACTGGGGGACGGGGAGGCGCCCAGGCCAGGAATAGCTCCGGGGGAGGGGCCGCGGGGTCCCTTGAGGAGCATGCTGCCTCGTCCGTCACCCCGGCTGGCTCTCTGCAGTCAGGGGGCCGGTGCCCAGATGGGAGGAAGGCACAGATGGGTGAGAGGGGACGCTGCCAGGAGCCTGTGCCAGGGACCGGGACAGTGGGAACGAGAGGTCCATCTGGAGGGCGAGCCCGGACCAGGCTGGGCCCGGACCGCCTGAGGCGGCCCTCGCTGGGTAGCTGTGCCCTGGCCCTCCGCTTCCCGGGATCTCCCTGGGGCCGATGGCGGCTGAGGGCCCTAGAGACCAGGGGGCCAGGACTCCAGGGTGGGGCTGGGGAGGGCCTTTTAGGGGTGGGACCAGGGAAGGGGTCTAAGGCCCTGGTTCCTGCCTCCTTGGAGGGTCGTGGCAAGGGCCTGTCTGGACCCCCGCGTCCCCGACTACAGAGCCCAGGGCCACAGGCCCCTAGCCCTTGGGGTGGGGCCTGGCCAGCAGGGCAGGTGTGGACGGGGCCGGGGGAAGCCGGCGATGACCCTCCAAAGAAGGGCCCGGGGGGCATTTGCGGTAGAGGAGAGGAGGCTCAAGGGTCCCCCCACCCCGCTGCTGGGGGTGGAAGTGGGGGCGCTCCTTCGGGGGAAGTGAGACGGGGTCCGCTGTGCAGCGCAGCACGTGCACCCCCAGGACCCTGTGGCGACGCCCCAGGAGCCCTCGGGGACGGCTCCCGCGCCCGGGGACGGGCCACCCCCCCGCATCCCCGCAGGGGAAGAGCCGCCTCCGTGGAGTGTGTTGGCACCTGTGCGGCAGAAGGGGCGGCACCTTCCACATCAAAGGCAAACGCAGCTTCTCCGCGGGGGGCCGGGGGGGCGGCCCCTGGGCAGGGTTTCAGGACCTGAATGACCTCTCACTTCCTGTCTTGGGTGCCGGTTACACAAGTGTTCACTGTACAGCAATTCTTTAAATTAAAGAAATGCGTTCTGTGCCAGCTTTAGGACGTGTGGTATAGCCCGGAATTTGGAAGAAATGCACCTGTGATTTCTTTAGGGTCCGCAGCCCCAGGCACGGCCGGCCGCCCCCTGGGCGGGGCCTCGGGAGCGTGGCCCCTCTCACCCCTGGCCGCCCTTGCTGGGCAGGGCCTGCGGGGCCTCGGTGCCCTGCCGGGCAGGGGCGGGTCCTGGAGGCCCGATCCCCACCCTGCCCTCTGAGTCTGCAGCTATAAGCGAACGTGACGAACGGCAGAGCCCTGAGTCAGCCCTGCCGAGCCGTCCCAGTCGGGGAAGGGTGGCCCCGAGGGCCTGGGGCGGAGGGGTGGCTGCCCTGGGGGGCTCACGGCCCCCTGCTTTCAAAGGCCCTTGGGTGGTGGGGTGGGCAGTAGCCTGGGGCTCGGGAATGCTCGGCCCCACTGGCCAGCGGTGGAATGTCACGTCCCCCTGAGGCGCTGGCCAGGCCCCCACTCTCTTTGCCTTTGGCCAGGCCGTGACCTTGGGACCAGCTGCACCTGCCCAGCTTCAGCGGGTTCAGATTTCAGGGCGGCCAGTAGGTGTTCCCTCCCTGCACCTCAAACGTGCCTCCCAAACCACCAGGCCAGGTCGCAGAATCCAAACTTCCGGGAGCCCATGAACGAAGCCCTGGGTTCCGACTTGCCTCTGGACTCCCTTGGGCACCGGGCGAGCCCACCCCCCTCCCGGTGCCACCTACCAGGTGTCCCCCGCCCGCCTGTGCGAGGAGCCTTGGCCTCCACTCCTTAGGCCTGGGCGCGTCCCAGGGGAGAAAGGAGGGGCGGGGGCTGATGCTGGCCCCCTCTGGGGACTCCCTGGGTCCCCTGCTGCAGGCCCGGGGGGGCCCCCCGCCAGGGGGAGAGGAGCTGGTGGGCCTCGGGGAGAGACAAACGGGGGCGCATCCCACACCCCGAAGCTCTGGCGCTTTATTGGGCAGCTGCGGAGCAAGGGAGGGCGATGCCAGGACGATGGGGCTCAGGGTGGAAGGCGGGCGTGGGGAGGGCGGGTCGCCACCTCCGGGACAGAGCCGGGCGGCGAGGGGGCTGGGCGTGGGGTCTCCGAGCGCTTTTGCTCATCGGCCGTGGGGGCTGCGCCACGTCTGACACTGTGGGTCCCCAGCTCCCACTGCCCACAGCCACCTGCGTGTCCTCGTAGCTGAGCTCAGAGCCGCGGCCTCTGTGTGGGCCCCGGGAAGGAGCCGGGGTCTGGCAGGGCAGGCAGCCGCCCCAGGGCAGCGGGAGGGGCGCCCCGGCCGTGTGCGCCGAGGGGCAGGGCGCTACGCCGCCGCCGCGAGGGCGTCCTTGATGGCGCTTGTGAGCGGGAAGGGCAGGTTCTGGCCGCAGAAGGTGCCCCGGAAGTCGTCCAGGTCCAGGGCCCACACCATGGCGCCAGCCAGCGCCTTGTCCCTCAGGTACCGCACCTGGCAGTGGGGGGCGCAGAGGGCAGGGCTGGGGTGGGGGTGGAGCCTGCCACCGGGTCCCTTGGGCTGGGGTCGGGGGGGCACTCCCCGGTCACGCTGCCCTGCCCTGGAGCAGGAGGCCCACGGGCTGCGGGGAGTGTGTCCTCCTCCCGCCTCCCCCTCCTCCCCTGGGAGGAGCTGGGGACCCACCTTGGTTCGGACGCTCTCCTGGTCGTCGTACCCCACCCACTGGTTGCCCTTGGTGGCATAGGGGACCTGCTGGCCGGGGAGTCTGTGCACCATGGCTCCTCGGAGGAAGTCGCAGACCTGAGCCGCGGGCAGGGTGGGGTACGGGCGCTGAGCTGAGGCTGCAGGTCCCGGGGGGGGGTCCTCGGCCCCTCCCAGGCCCCCCCCCCCACTGCCTATGTAAGTCCGATGTAAGTGTCCCCAAGCTGTGTGGCCCCAGGCTGCACGGAGCACCCCAGGACTGGGGGCCAGAGGCAGACGGGGTGCGCCCCCCCATCCTGATGGGCTGGTCCCCGGAATGTTATTTTTATTCCCGGAAGAGCAGAAGGGGGTGGGGTAGAGCCCGCCTTGCCCAGGAGCTCGTCTGCCCCCAGAACGCACCTCATAGTAGGCCAGCATCCCTTCCTCCCTGGTGAACCGGCCCGGTGCCCCCGGCCCGGAGCTGGGGGCCCCCACGCCTGTCTCTGAGGAGGCCAGCGTGAAGCTCTTCCCAAAGGCGGGGATGCCCATCAGCAGCTTCCCAGCCGGGACGCCCAGCCTCAGCACGTAGCCCACGGCGTAGTCCTGGGGGGCCGGAGGCAGAGGAGCGGTTGCCTTGGGAAGGCCGCTCTGCCCCCGTGCGTCCCTGGGCTCCTACCCCTCCAGGGGCCCATCGCCTGGGTCTGAGGGGCACCCCGCACTTTCATTCTCAAAGGGCCTCGCAGGCACAGGGAGGGGGCGTCACAGTTTGACAGCTGCAGAAATCGGGGGCCAGCTCAGGTCCAAGGCGCGCGCACGGCAGGTCCAGGCCCAGCCGGCCTCTCCTCCGCCCGCTGCCTGCGCAGCCCTCTGGGGCCCGTCGGGGCGTCCCTGGACCTCGGGCTCAGTGTCCTCGTCTGTGACGCGGGCCCGTCACCCCCGCCCGGCAGGCTGACTGAGGGGTGGAGGGCGGCGCGAGAGGCCGGCAGGACCCGCCCCGCCCCTGACTCACAGCGTTGCTGAACCTGTCGGCACTGGCCACCCCCTGGCCGCGGAACAGGGGGCTGTGGTGCCCGGTGCCCTGGTGCCAGGCTCCGTGGAAGTCGTACGTCATGAGGCTGACGAAGTCCAGGTGTCTGTGGGAGAGGAGGTGGAGGGCCAGGTGGGCGCTGGAGAAGCTCCTGGCCTTGCGACCGCCAGCCCCGTGGGGTGGGGGCCGGCAGGCAGGTAGCTCAGAGACAGGCCACCCTCCCACACCCCCCGACGCCCCGGGACCTGCTGCCCCGCCTGCTGGACCCTCCAGCCCAGCATGCTCGTCCTGCTGAGAGCAGAGGAAGCGTCGTGCGCAGACAGCCTGTGAGCGGGCCGCAGGACAGAGGGCAGCGGACCTGCGGCCATCCGCCTGAGGGAGGGGCTGCCGGCGGCCTCGGGACCGGGTGCCTCAGGTGTTGGGCGAAGAGGTCTGAGGGTTCCCTCCTTCCCACCCTCCCCATGGTCAGCTTCAGCTCCAAGCCTCCATCCCCTCGAAGTCGTAAGGAGAGCGCTAAAGTCTTGGTGGAGGGCCCTTGTTCTGCAGCCCTGGCTTCCTGAGACCCGCGCTATCAGGCCAGCAGGCCGCTGGGGGCGGGGCGGCAGCTCCTTCCCACTCGGGGGGCGGGCTGAGGGGCAGGGGGACCCCTCTGCGGGTGTCCTGGCTGCCTGGAAAGGGACGGCACCCTCACGGTGCTGGCTGGCCGGTCTGACAGCTTCCCCTCTTTGTTTCTGTTTCCCCAGATGCCTGCACGGCAACTGCGCACGCTGCTCAGCGCAGGACCCCAGGCGAAAAAGGACAGACAGGGATCATGATGCCCAGGGACGCACGGGGCCGCTGAGGCACGGAGAGGGAGAGTAGCCTCCTCAGGGTCACGCGCCCCTGCCTGGAGGTCCGGCTTCCGGGCCACGGGGAGGGCGGGGTGGGGCACTCACTGGGCCAGCTGGGCAACGTCGTAGCCTCTGTCCAGGGCCACCTTCCCGGCAGACACCGCGGCGCTGAGGAGCAGCCGCCCCGGGCCCTTCCGGGCTTCCTGCACAAACTTGGCCTTCATTTCCTGGGGGGGAGAGAGGCGGGCGAGTGGAAGGGGTCCCGGCAGTGGGGGAGCCCCGGAGGAGGCCGGCTCTGAGCACCCCCCGCCTGCCCCATGGGGGCCCTGTCCTTGGGCTCGCGCGCCCTTCCCCGCAGCCCCTGCGCCCCCGCCCTGGAGGCGAGACCCCGGGGGCTTCAGCTGGCGCTGAAAGAAGCTGGGCCCCTGCTGCCTGCTCTGTCACAGCCGGTGCACGAGGCCGCAGACCTCGAGGGGCTGCGCGGCTGCTGGGGACGCCTGGAGGTGCCTGGGCTGCCCCCAGATGTGGCTGGGTGTCCCCAGTGCTGTGCACTGCTTTGGGGTGGCACAGCGGACAGTGACACCCCGCTGCCTGGGTGGTGACGTGTGGGTGCTCTTCCCGATGACCTTCTGCTTCTCAGGGCCCCGCCCCGCTGCCCCCCGCGGCCACAGGGCGTCTCCCCGCTCTGCGGTGTCTCAGACTCGGCCTGCGCCCCCTCCTGCGCCCGCCCCAGAGCCGACCAGCACCTTGAGCAGAGTGGTGAGATGCCGCTTGTCCCTCCGGCCAGGGTAGAGCCAGGCTAGGTCCAGCCCGTCGAAGCCGTGGGTCCGCAGGAACGGCGGCACCGATCTGATGAACGTCTTGCGGCGCTGGCTGTTGGAGGCTATTTTGGAAAACCTAGGACCAAAATCACCCCAGGAGAGCGCTTAGCCCTGAAATGCTGGGGCGGTGGCCCCCTGTGCCACGAGGATCGGGGAGCCCGTGCCCCACACTGCGGCAGACCCGGCCATTGCAGGCCCACGTCCGAGCCTGTGCTTCAGCGCCGGGCGCTCCTGGTTTCCAGGCCGCGTGCAGACGCCCGCTCCGCACGGACTGTGCCCTGAGACTCAGCTGTCCCGCCTGCGGACTGGCGGCAGGCGCAGCATCTCAGTGCCGCCGGGAGGCCTGCCTCTGGCAACGGCCGGGATGGAGCCCGACGCTCAGCCACCGCTCCGGACGCGGGGGCCGTGACCCGGCCGCTCCCGCCCCCGGTGCCCTCCAGGATCTCCACCCCCCTTTGTGCATCCACCGACGGGCCCCCCAGAACCCTCTGTTCTCAGGGTGAGAGGCCACGGAAAGGCGCCAGGAGGCCCTCTGCCAGCTGCCGAGTGACGCCCGGCCAGGCCTGGTGCCCTGCGGCTCCGGGTCTCGGTCGTGCCCGAGGCCCCTGTGGCTGAGCAGCCGGGGGCCCGTGACCCTCAGGCCGCGGTTGAGGGGCTGCCTATGCCTCCTCTCTCCTGCCCTGTCACCCTCTGTGGAGCAGGCCCTACCTTTGGGAACCGAAGTTCCATCCTCCGACAGACAAGAGGGTCTTCAGGTTGGGGTTCCTGTGAGGCACAAGGAGGCGGGGGGCAGGGGGCAAGGGCGCTGTGACACTGGTCCCCATGTTTTGTCTCTAAGGTCCTTCCAGCCCTGAGATTCAGTCTCTAAGACTGAGGTTTGCTGCCCATTTTTGGGCCCCACCCCCAGTGGGGAAGCCAGGAGTTGGAAAAACAGACTCGCAAGCAACTCGCCTGCCCCGGGAGAGACGCCCTCCCGGACGGCGGCTTCCCTGTGCTGCAGCCGCCTGGTCCCAGCCCCGCGCCTCCCGGCTCCCGCCCTCACCGCCTCCTCCCACCGCAGAGGCCTCGACTCCCGCGCAGAGGCCGGTGCGGGTGGCGCTCACCCGTGCGCGGGCGGCTGTGCAGCCAGCCCTCCCCCTGCCTCTGCCCCCGCCAGCCCGGGCCCCACCTGATTTTGAGTGCGTTCAGTGTGTCGTAGAGCGTCACGTCGTTCCACTCCCAGGTGTCGATCTCGTCGTTGCTGATGTTGGCGAAGCTGTAGATGATGTGGGTGCAGAGGAAGGGATCGATGGCGTCTGGGAAGCAGCTGCCGGCACCCTCGCGGTACTGGGACCAGCTGGTGTAGTAGCAGACCAGTTTGTACGCAGCACCTGCAGGAGACATTGGGTGGGGCCTGGGCCAGGGTCCCGCGGGGGACACTCTCACTGAGCCCTGAGCCGAGCACCAGGGGGCGCGGTGAGTCACAAATCCACACGCAGCTCCGGACCGACGAAGAGGGTGGAGGCAGGACCTGCTCAGGTGAGGAAGGCCTCCAGGAGGCTGAGGAGGAGGAGGGAGCAGCCCCGGCAGCCAGTGCGGGAGAGGCTGGCCCTCAGGGGACCCTTCTGGTGGGGGGCCCCCCCCGGACCCGCAGCCCATGAAGGCCAACCTGCCCCCTCCTGGGCACAGTGCCCGGGGGCCAGGAAGCCCTTCCTCCCAGCGCCCCTGCTGCCAGGGAACCTCTCCCGCCTCCCTGGCTCCGTAGGGAGAGCGGGGGGTGTCACTCATCCATGTGGTCACTGGGTTCCCCTCAGCCTTCGCTGAACCCGGAAATACTTTTATTTTGAAAAATTTCAAATATACAGAAAATAAACATCAAAATCCTTATACTTTCTTTTAACAAATGTCAATATTTCTGAGCCATTGGGGTTGCCAAAGATCCCGGAGGGGCGCCCCCCCCCCCCAACTTACAGCTCTGGAGGGTCAGCAGGAGCAGCAGGCCTGAGGGGAGAGCGCGGGTCAGACCCTGCCGGCCGCTGCGCGCCCTCCGCTCCCCGACCCCCCGCGGGCAGCCCCCACCTCCAGCCCCTGCCCCCACCCCCACCCCCCGCCGCCCCCGCGGGTCCAGGCCCCTCCGTGCAGTGGGCTGGGGGCGGCCGGGCCCTGCACCGGGAGTGCCCGCAGCCCAGCCCCGCGACCCGGGCACGCCGCCCTCGGACCCGTGCGGGACGCCGCGGAGGGGCGCATGGCGTGGCCTCTTCTCGCGTTCCTGGTGCCCAGCGGCCCTGCAGAGCCCCCTCCCGGGGCCACACTTCCTTTTATACTGTCCCTCTCCGCTCCCCTGTGCCCCAAACCACCCCATTTATGGGAACTGAGCTGTCCGCGAAGGAACTGCCGGGCGGGCGGTGGGCCCCAGGGAGGGTTGGGAAACCCTGGAGAGTTTCGAAAACTCGGGCCAGGCCTTCAGGAGGCACCTGAGCCGCCACGGTGACGGCCCGCGGTGGCCCGGCCGCACTTCCGCACACCCCCTGCAGCGCCCCGCACTGCCGGCCCCCCCCCCCCGCCCACCCCCCAGGCCCATTCCCCCAGGGCTTCATCGCCAGCCCTCGCCCAGTCCCTCGGCCGGGCTGCAACGGGCCGCGCTCCCTGTTGCGCAACCGGCCGCGCCCAGCAGGCCGCTCCTTCTTCCTGCCCGGCAGCCCCGCAGCCCCTGCCTGACCTGCTCTCCCCTCAAAGTCGCCCTCCTCCGCGGCCGTTTCCGCTCGGCCTGAGAGCGAAGGCCGTTCAGCCACTGCCGTGCTGATCACCTACAGGGAGAGTCGGGCTGGAGTGGGAAACCCCCGGGAGCTTCTGAAATGCCGCGGGGGGACCCGCAGAGCCGCTGCTTCAGGGCCAGGGCAGGGCGGGCGCCCCGGCCCCCAGGGGCAGGCTCCCTCTGGTGCTTTGGAAACGTCACGCCCATCCAGATGCCCCCGACCCCTCGTCGCTCCTAGGAAGAGGCAGAAGCTTCGTGCTGAGGCTCCGCGTGGGTCGGCCCAGTCTTTGGCCAAGAGCCAGGACAGCCCCATCCTCTGGCAGCTGTAAATGAACGAATAGGCAGAAGCGAGAAGCTTGGAGCAGCAGGAGCCGGAATTAGGTCAAAGGGCTCCTCAGCAAAGTGCCTTTATTTTCCCAACAACCTCAGGTCGTCACCGGATGTCGCCCCGAACTTCCCACTGCTTTTGGCGCGCCTCTCCCCTCCCCTCCCGTCGGCTCCCCGTACTGTGCGTGCGTCCGGAGTCCCCTTCGCAAACACCAAAGGGCCAGGGCTCCTTCCCTGAAGGGGCCGGACTCCTGTGCGAGGCGATTGGCACAACGACCGTCCATGAGGACCTCGCCTCGTCCCCTGGGGGCCGGGGGGACTGGGCCTCCTCTAAGCTCTGAGGGGGGTCTCACAAAGCAGCAGCAGCAAACTTTTCCTGTTTTTAAGAAAACATGGCTGATTTCCACTCTCTCCTTCGTTAGAGATGATCTCGCGGGCTCGGGTTGGCCTGACCCTTGCCGTTCTGGACCCTCCCACAGGGGACTCAAGGACAAACGGCCAAGACACCCCGGGCCCGCCTTGGGCTGGCCACGGTCCCAGGGCTCAGCAGCCCTCGGCCTCCTGCCGCGCGGGCCCCGCCCGCTCCCTGTCCTGCGTTTCCTCTCCAGGGCTCTGTGCCCACCTTTCACTCTCCTGTCAGTATCGGCGAAGGCCTCACGCCCCTCGCAAGCCAATGAGGTGGCCACAGGGCCACGGATTCTGGCAGGTCAGGGACGAAGGGGCCGCTCAGGGCAGAGCACGGGAGCTTCATGTTTGCGTCACTTCCTGTGATGAAAGGACAGCGAATTTGAGTTGTCCCCTGGGCAGTTCACAGCGGGAGGGGCTGGAAGACGCGTCTGTAGTTTCGGGTCCCCAAACCCGGGGCACGGCCCGGCCCGCGGGGGGGCCACGGGCCTCAGGAAGAAAAGGGGTTTTGGAAGGCAGCCTCACAGGGGGCTGTGGCTACAAGCTCCTCATTGGTCAGGTCTGGGGGTCGTCACGCCCCAGGCACGTGACGTCTCCTCAAAGGTTTACGTGCGTCTTAGGCAGGCCTTGCCCATCGCCCTGCTGCTTCTGTGCGTGTGGGTGAGCACAGCTTCCTAAGGGGCCATGAGCAGGAGAAGGAGGAGCGGGAGGGGTAGGAACGAGCCTAACCGCGCTCAGGAAAGCCCGTAGCCCCGTGAGCCGGCTGGTGCCCAGCCCCCGCCCAGCAAATGCATAAAAGGGCAGGCGGAGTCCACAGTTGTTTTGGTTCGGTGGTAACCTGCAGTCCAGGTAACACGCTAAACGCCGCATCAGGAGGCGGGGGGCGGCCCGGGGCTTGGGGCCGAGGCTCTCTGCCCGCCCGTCTCCCCCACCCCCGTCCGCTGCCCTGCCCTTCCTCGCTCCTGTACCTTTTCTTACCTTCTCATCTCTCTTTCTTTTTCTCCACAATTCGTTACTCTTGCTTTCCTTCACATTATTTCAAGTCAAGTCACCTCAACTACCCAAAATCTGGAGTAAAGTCATTTATAAATGTCGATCGTTCAGTGTGGTTTTGTCTTCCTCTAGAGATCAGGTGTGTGTGATGCTTTGTGCGTCTCTCTGAATTATGAGAAGGTGCAGCAGCCTCCACACCTAAATTAAGGGACTTGACGTCGCTGTTTGGTCCTCAGCCGATGATTTGTTTCCACTGAGGTCACTGTCCCCTAATAGAAAATGGCTCCCACCGTTGGATCCAAGGGTTGGAAAGAGCCTGTGTCCAGGCATCGGGGGCCTGGTGCCCCGGGAGGTCTCTCCCGCGGCGGGGGCGCCGAGGTCTGGACACTGCCCGCCGGCCAGGTGTCCCTGAGCCACCGCAGGCGCCCTCTGGGCCCGGCCTGGGCGTCGGGCTCCGCCCGCCCCGTGGTGGGGGCGGGGCAGACCGGAGGGAGCAGCCCCCGTCCTCCGCGCAGGGTGCACACGGGAGCCCGGCTGCGGCCAGGAGAGCGGGCGAGGGGGCACTGACGGCCGTGGGGGCGCCGGCCTCCCTCGCCGCCCTGCTCCCCTGGGAAGGGGCGTCCGGGGGTGGAGGTTGCCCGGGGCTCGCGGGGCGTGTAGCCCGACCTTCCCACGGGGCAGCGGGACACGGGGGACGCGGTGGGAGAGGTCACTTGTCCACGGCCACCCACGGAGGCGGAGGCCGAGGCCCAGCGTGCTTTCCTCTGTCCCGAGCCCCCTGGAGTCTGGTGGCAGGACTGTGGTGGGCGACGTTCCTCCTGGGCTCTGGCTCGAGGACCCCAGGAGTCCAGCGTCCGGTCCTGCCCTGGAGCCCCTCCTAAGCCAGGTCTCCCTGTCGGCAGGGCAGCTTCCCCTTCTCACTAAGCTCTGAACGTGGGGAAGAGACAGTGGCAGGGGCCTGGAGCACCTTGGCGGTGACTCCGCGCTGGCCCCCAGGACTGCAGGACAGAGCGGAGAGAGGGCAGCTGCCTGGACAGCCAAACCTCAATTGGGGGTTGGGTGGGGGTCGTGCCCGGCACCTGTGAGCTGCTCCCCACTCCTAAGAAGACACACCCAGCAGCCTCAGGGGCAGCTCCACCGAGCGGCTTGGCCGTCCCTTCCCTTCTGCCTTGGGCGGCGCCCCCCCCCCCCCCCCCCCCGCTGCCCGGCCAGGATTCTCTACAGCGGCCGCAGCGGCGGCAGGGCCCAGAGGCGCAGAGACGCAGGTGTCTCCCAGCGAGTCCCTCCGCTTAGGGAGCGTGGATCCCGAGACCTCTGCCTTGCGTGGTGGGGGCTGGGCGGGCCAGAGCGGGTCGCGTTGTTGCTCTTTTTTCATTGGGTGGCTGACAGTCTTCAGGGACTATCCTGTCTAAGATTGGCATATAGTTAAGCACATTTTTAATATACGGATCTGTATTTGGCCTAAGGACTCTGTTCTGTGTACTTCGTTCCCTAACACCTTTCTCCGTTTCCTCTGCTCCCCTGGGGAGTCCCTAGCGCCCCGGTACCCACGGGGGACCAGCAGCCGCGTGCTTCCACCTGGCAGATACTAACCTTCCCGTCACGAGGCCAGTGTCCAGGTCAGTAGAACCACAGTTGTCCTTCCACGGCCATCTTGCTTCTTCCAGAAGGTGGTTGCGTACCTGCAGTCTTGGTTAGTCTTCTGTGGAAGGAGACACCATATTCTCAGCGTGACACTCATTCCGGTGTTTCTAAGGCCAGCTGATGCTGCTCTTTTTGCTCCTGACCCCTGAGACCAAAAATGGGGCGGTGCTACCTGCAGAGTCGGCAATTGTGTGTGAGTTTGCTCTCAGAGCAGCTTCTAGGCTGGGAAGAGGAAGCTGGACTCCAGATCAGCTGAGTACCCCTTCAGCAGAGAAGTAGAAGGATGCGAGGATCTTCTCTCCCAGTGCTGCGTGCTGGCTAGGGTTTACAGTCATGCGGCCTACGTTTTAGGTTTGCGAAGTGTAACAAAGGTGTGTATAGCGTACAAGCCTTGGTTGGATGTTCATGCCGAGTAAGCGGGCGGTCCGTTCTTCCTGTTACTGTAGGCGTCTGCTGGCCACAGTCCAGTAGAAATGGGAGAAACAGAAGCATAGGTTTGTGGCAACTGCAGCTAACGGGCATCCAGACCCCAGCGTCCCTCATTCAGGACCGTGGGGCGGGACAGAGCTAACACACTCCTGCACCGCAGGCTCCGCGCCGCACGGCGGGCACTGACAGGAAAGAACTGCTGTGATGTGACAGGCACGATTGCATCGTCCTGTGGCTGTGGGTCAAATTGTGCACCCCTGGAAAGATATATGGAAATCCTAACCCCCGTCCCTGTTAACGTGACCTCATCTGAAATAAGAGTCTTTGCAGACGTAAGGGAGTGAAGATGTGGTTCTGCTCACTCAGGACGGGCCCCAACCCGATGTGACCAGTGCTCTCGGGGGGAGTGGAATATGCCGGGGCTCCGGCGCTGGCTGTGCTCCTGTGAACAGCCAGGCACCTCCTTCTCCCCACCTGCCTTCATCCCAAGCTGCCTGCCCAGGTCCCCCCCAACACCAGCGGGGGTGGGGGGGGTGGGCAGTTTGGTGCACGGCAAGCTGGACCATTAGGTTGCATGCAAATTTTCTTCAACGAGAACAACCAAGAGTTGACCCGAAGCTGCAAGCGCTGTTGGATTACTGTTTGTCCGGGACGCTGTGTGCGCATGCTCTTCTGGCTCGTCTTGGCCACTTAGGCCTCAGTTTTGGACTTTGAACTAGGT